GGGGCTGCCCGCGCCAGGCGCAGCCTCGCGTCGCTGCCCCCGGCGTGTCCCTGCGCCTCTCGCTCCTTTCTCGGGTGAGTTACCGCAGGTTTCCTTCCGTCGTAGCGCGGCTGCCCGTCGCAGTTGCCCCGCCGGGGCCCTGTCCCCGCCAGCGTGCGGCCCGAGCCGGGCCAGCAGGAGCCGTTGCACAATCATGCACTTCCCTGGGGCGGCTTTGGGTTTGGTTCAGCCTCTCACACAGCCTGAGGAGCCTGAGCCGGGGTGACCGTGGCCTCGGCCGCAGGTGAGGGGCTGTGACTGGGGCGCTCCCCTTGCACCTCCACCTGCTGGAAACGCCTCTCGAAGGTTTTGAGCCAGAGTGCTTCTCTGGGGTTTTGACACAGGAGGAGATTAAGTCTTGGTGGTCTCCTCCAAGGCAAATCTCTTGGAGGCTTAGGGGTATTTGGATGTATTTGTGTTTTGTGCTGCAAAACCTCTTCTTTAAAAGCCTGGGGAAGTTCAGTGCTTTTGTATTGCAAGCTAGTTGCACAAGAGTGGGGTGAATAACTGAAAACATAATTGAACTCCATTTTAAATTTATATAATCCTTACATGTTTTTCTTGGGCCTTTAAATGGGAAACATGCCCTTATCAACTAAGTATTATGTTTAAAGAAGCAATACTTGAAACTTAAACTGGAGCTGTTTAATTCTTTTAATACTACAGATTTAAGACTCAAGTTTTGAGGCTCTTCCAGTGTATGTCAATACAATATATGCTACGCAATAGAGTTTCTTTTAACACTGTCTGTCCACCCTTTAGGATACATAAGTGGGTACTTCCTACAGGTAACACCTCTCTAGCAGTGTTGGATATACCTTTTTCTGTTCATTGAATGCTGTTGCTTTTCTGTCTTAGGCTACTCATAGCTCTGCCTGGCCCATCTGTTTTTCTAGCCCTGGGTAGCATGGCCGTGACCTCCACCTTGCCTCCTCAGTTTCTTGGAAAATACTGCAACAAAAATCGGGCTCTTGGCCTATGCTGTGTAAACACCCTGTGAATTTCTTTTTGCCTATAGTATCCAGCTATGGCATTTCTGTTCTCATTTCTGAGAGAATCTTGACAGACTGATTCCTGTGTACCTGCTTTTGTGCCTCCTTGCCCAATCCACTGTGACTTCTCTGCCAGCAAACCTAGCTTTTGTTACTTGTTTGCCTACTTTGTCAAACCCTTTCTACCAAGCCACCTGTTGCAATTTTCCTATCTGAGCTCAACAGCTGCTGGTTTCTTCTCTTGCAGACCTAGCCTGAAAAGGCACTGCATTTTTTAGATAGTAAATGATTACCATCTTTGACACATAGTTTTAAATGTACTTATTAAATTGAAAATTCAAATACCCTTTCCCATAAAATGTTCACTCAAAATGAGAGACGGGGAACATGGTCTTCCATTTAGCCCCTCACATTTTGCAAGCCAGCGGATGGGAAGGGTGTGCATTTGTGCAAATACAGTACAAGCTCTTAGTCTTTTATGTGCCTGGTAGCAATTGTCATAGCAGTAAAGGTGAATGTGAAGGACTGGGATTGATCTAGCTCCTTAACCAGAATGTAAAATTGCCACTTTCCGCCGCATCCTTCTGCGGGAGTTAGAGCAATATTCTTGAAAAAAGTATTCCTTTGTTGTACCTCTCTGCCTGAAAATAGGATGCACCTCTGTATACAGAGGTGAAATGGGATGTTGCCTATTACACACCAACAACACAGACATCAAAACATCTAAGAAAAAAGAATGCAATGGAACAAATGTCAAGATGTTTCAAATCACATGCGAAAGCATGATATTCTCATAGTAGCTGTTCTCCTCGTTAGTAAATTTGAAGTTATTGAAATGGTTGCTTGTAACCTTGTAAAACAGCTCAACAAGCTCATCAGTTATTAAATTTTGAGCCTCATGACAAGAGAGCAAAAAGAATTCACTTTCCAACACAGAGAATGAAGCTGTGGGTTATACTTACACTGAAGTAAGACCAACTGTAACAACTGGCAAAACCAAGTAAGCAAATAATTGAATGCCTGTGTAAGTGTATCTGTTGGGGTTTTTCTACCTAGAGAACTGCCCTGAAGAGTCTCCAGCTCAATTAGTGTGATCTCTTCTGTCTAAAGGGTTTTAACGAGGAAGACACATACTTTTTTTTTTTGACATGCTGTATTAAATTGTCAAGTGAATGGGTTTATTTTTTATTCCCTAATGGCCTATCATTTCCACATGAGGTAGATTCTGCAGGCAAAGACAAACAAGTGCGCTGCTCAGGCCTGGCAACAAGTCTTTGTTTTGGGGGGGGGTTCTTTATTTTGTCTCTTGATAATGAGGTTTAATAACCCTGTTGAATAGGAATATCTGATCAAGCTATCTGTAGAAATACCTATTTGTCTATCTATGTATGTAGATAAACTTTAATATAAGAAAACATCCACATTTCTGAATATGTTATCTACTAAAATTATGGACAAGTTTGGAGGAAGTAGATGAACGAGTATCACAAGCTCTATTATAAGTAAAAATGCATTTATTCTGACCCTCTCAGTTCCGTGCTCACCTTGATATCAAGCTGCACTGATAGAGCTTGCTTTCCTTCAAAACTCACAAAAGAATCTTTCAGTTAAGCCAGTGGTAGATGTAATGCAATGTAGTATGTTTAGCTGAAATGAATGTAGACTAATAGGAGCTGACCACGTCAATCCCTTCAGAACAGCTAATTGGATATTATTGTAGTAAGTATCCATCATATGAACACTGTTCTGTAGTTTGTCTTTAAAATGTGCTAAGAATTTACAATTATATTGGAAATTGATGGAAATGCAAGAAGTTAATTGTCTCTGAAAATACGACTTGAAGAAGTTTGTGGTTAGGACTTAAAGTTGGAAAAGAGTTTGGCTTTGAAAGTTTGTTGGGAAATATTTGAAAGAGACCAAACTGGAACAAAAAAAACCCATTCAGTGTAAGCAGAGGGCAGCTGGATGATCTTGTGTGCTTTAAAGAACTTGAGACATTTTTATAGCACTGTGTGGGTGGTTAGGAAGGTTTGTATACAGTTCCCACTAACGTTCATGGGCAAGAATAAATTTTGGGTCTCTGTCCCTTACTTTTTTCCTTGTTCTTTTTTTTAATTGAAAAAATAGAGATGGTATAGTACTTATCCTGAATAAGAATGCAGCAGGTTATGTATAATCCTGAAGGACAAGGATATTGTTAAAAATGTGTCAGATTATTATATCTATTGTTGTACCTGAATAACCTTTTGATTTTGTTTGGTTTCTTTTCCTCAAGTTCTATATCTTAAATTTGCAAAGCAGAAAAATATGTTTGATAGGTATTGCTACTTTTGTGATCCTGACTGAAATGAATGTAGCAAGAGCATATTGAACGTATTTATTTCGTTAAAGAAATCTCAGGTACCTTTGTGGAATATGCTGGGCTTTGTGAGATGATGTTGAGGAACACTAGAAGTGGAAGGAGTGAAGTGAAATATTTGTCATTCACTTTCTCAGTAAAATCAATTCATACTATTTTTTAAATATAATTTTTCCTATATAGTTATAAAATTTTGTTATATTTGGCCCTTCAATAGAACCAACGAACTCCAGAACAGCAAAAGCTGTCAGAGTTAGTCACTGAAATTTTTTGGAATGCATTAGACTTTTAAAGGAGAGTGAAAAAGAGTCAATTGCAGGCCCAGAAAAGGGTGAGCTTAGGAGAGAAGGAGAGAACGTAGAAAGTTCAGATGATGACAGTAAATGACACCGACTGTGCCCATGTCTGTAACACTGGATGTATGCTTCATTGGAAAGAAGGAATGTTTGATTTTTGTGTCTAGAACACTGCTTCTTTCCTTTTTTTTTCCTTTGAAATTATAAAAATAAGCTTTAAACTGACTAAATCATTCACTAAAATTAGGCCAGTTTGTGAAAGTGTAATGTATTTGCAATGATTGTATTGGTTGAGGCTAGTGCAGTACAAGTCCGGGCAGTAACCTGTCGGCATGAACTAAATATTAATCCCCTGCTGCTGTGCTTGAATTGCAGCCAGCAAAAAGTCCTCCAAAGTCTCCAGGTTAATCACCTAGTTAAAGTTTGTTTTGGCCTCCATCTCATTCCAACCCTAAGTAACCTATAACTTCAATATAGCACATTCCTAGAGAACTTGAAAGTGTTTGAAGTCTGTTCAGTTTTCTGATTGTGTATTATACCGAAGTTGGACTTTGTGCCACAGAATATGGCTTTAGGTGAAGGGAAGAGAATACAGTGCGTTGGCCAAATTAGTTCTTTTTCAGTAATAATCTAGTTTAACTGGTTTTGGAAACACTTCCATCTGCTACCTATGCAAGTCTTTCTATGTAGACCAATGAAAAGTCAGGTAGGAGGAGTTGGAAGTCATGACTTTGAATTTGTGTTACACAAAGAGGACTGATACACAGCGAACTGAAATCATGCTCAGGGTTGCTCAACAGTAATACTTTTATGGCATATTTGTTTTATTAAGGTAAACAATTAAATCAGCCAGTGAAAATGAAGCCAGCAATGCTATCTGTGGTGTATAAAACTGCATTAAACCATGGAAGGCTTATCTGAAGCAGATACCGGCAAATACACTTCAAGCAGAGATAGGCATTGTGTACTTTTATCTTTCCTATGCAGTAACTGCTTTCTGTACAGGAAAAGCAAAGCTAGTGACAGTCACGTATTAATTGACAGTAGCAAGAAGTTAGTTGATCGTATAGCGCTTAAGTTTTTCTAAAGTATAAGAACAGTATTACTACTCTGTGCAGCACAGTACTGAAGCAAGCACAGGGACAGCTCTGTCTCAGGATTACTTTGTTTCAGTGATTTTTAGATATGTATTTCTTAATTTCTCTTTACCACCTTTTCAAATAAGGAAATAAAAAAATACATTCCCCAGCAGAGTATCTTGTTTTAATATCAGTTTAGTTTCACCTTGACATGCATAGCCCAACAGTGCCTGTTTCAAATAGAAGCAAAGTCTCTCAGAACCATACATTTCAATTAAATATTAATTTGGATAACCAAGCAGTCTGTAA